TAATGTTATAACCAATTTAAATGAAATCAAATTCCTGAAATTAGTAAAATATCTCCCAAAAAACCCTAGATAGCAACTTTCATAAAAATTAAAGTATTTTTGAAAAATTTGTCCTTGATCCTCTGTACCTGAGAGACATGAGATCCTGCTTGCTAAAATCCTCCCCTCCAAAAAGTTATAAGTTATTAATCTAAATTAAAATTATTAACCCCTGACGAAACAATTGAAAATTACCTTTTTTAAAAATAAGTAACAAACTTAAATAAGGGATATTCAATAAAATTTTAATCCCACGTAAAAAGTACTCTTTTTATTCTAAAAGTCAAAGAAAAGAGAAAAGGGGATTAAATTTAAAACATTTCTATTTAATAAACACACTCTAATTAATAATTATTTCCTTCCATTTGCAACTTAATGAAGAGTGTGCGATCTTGTAAAATTATATTTTCAGCTTTGAAATTATCATTAATATGTGCATTATAACCTATATATATATATATGACCAGCTAATATTAATTTATGTAAATTTTATTTAAGAGCTGAGAGCTGAGAAAAGCTTAAGATTTATATAAATTACTCTTATTACTTCTTGTTGAAAATTTGCATTCTCAATCTCGTGAGAAGTCTTTTCCAGTATACAAAATATGTATGTATAAGGGAAGTGAGAATAGAAAATAGCTCTCGTTACCATCTTTACTTTGCTCTGAAGGAAAAATTTATTCTATCACAAGCTTGACGATCGGTTTTTTTTTATCTTGACTATAAAGCTAATGAAGATTCTATGATCATTATCAAATTTTAACCCTCCATTGCAATACGATAATTATTTGATTTTTCCAAGCTGAAAAGTCTCAGCAAAAAGATGAATCGTCTCATTTTAAAAATATACTCAAGTGTTCTAATTTTTAATCTAGTTATCTAACACAATCGTTTTATGATTTAGTTAATGATGATTTTGAACTAATTAGTTTTGTTTATTCTAAAATATGAATCAATTTTTTTTTACGCTGGATAAAATCTAAATAGTTAAATAAAACCAAATTTAAAAATGTTTAGTAATAATATGAATTGTTATAATTTGATATTGCTTGTCTATATGTAAAAAATTACAACATGTTTTCCGATATAAACCATCAGTAGCCTAAAGGAATAATATTGTTCGATTTTCGTCGAACTTTCAGAAAAAAAATTTTGCTCTCGTCATGTACAAAATTTCCGCAAAATATGCTACAACATTATCAGGATGCAATGGCTATTGTGAGAAAATTTGGGAAACAATACCCATTTATTACTATGACATACAATCTAAATTGACGTCATATATAGGAAAATTTATTACTTTATCAAACTGCTTTTGACATATTCAATGTATCGTCGTCGTAATACGAGAACTTATTCACAATGGTAATAAATAATAAATAAGAACAAACATTTGACAAGTTTGGCTGTATATTAAATGTATATTATTTAGTTTTATAAAACATAATTTGTTAATTATTTTCTTTCTTGTAGTTTCTGAAGAGGACACGAGCCATAATGTTGATCAACTTCTTCATTCAGACGGCGCTAGTAGTCCAACGGTCACGGTGAAAACTGTAACAATTTTATTCTGACAAGTGTCAGACAGCAGTAGAAAGTGTTTCCAGATGAAATTCGCAGCTATTTCTTTAAGAATTTATTTGTAAATGCTGTGATTTACAAATTTTATTCAAACTAAAAATATTTTGAAAACTTAAAATTCAAATTTTTCAGTATATTAATATAAACGTTTGCAAACTAAATTTTTAACGCATTAAAGTGTAATGAAAATGCAAATATTTTTAGAGGTATATAAGGGTTTTATTCCATCTATACACTGTTCTTTTTTATATATATTTAACCACAAACAAATAACATTATTTAAAATTATTATACAACTTATCAATAAAATATTTACTCCCTTACAATTTTCTTTTTTAAAATTAAAATACGTCTTTTCTTCTCTCTAAATATTTGTAATTCTCCTTTTAATTGATTAAAGAAAAGAAACACGTTTAAAAATTAAAAACTTATTAAAATCAGTCTTCTTTATATTTTGACAGTAAAATATACGCATTAAATTCTAAATTAAAAAATAAAATTTTACTATCAGGTATCGTTTTAGTTTGATTAAAATTAAAATCAATATAGACTTTCTTTTAAAGTAAAAATTAAATATTTTCTCCATTGGTCGCTTTTTTACGTTAAAACTTGTACTTTCTTGAAAATTATTCTTAAGAGACAAAAATGTATGAAAAATTTTTCTTTTTTTGATAAAAATTGATAGATTATCGTTAAATGTATTATAATAAATATTCGGTCGTTTTTTAAACATTTATACACATATATAGTTTTCTCTAAAGCATAAATTACTTGTGTATTTTATAATATATATATACAATAAATTTACACGTTGTAGATAATATAACAGTCGTTAGCCCATTTTTGTTAATATTTAAAATTTCTTAAATATATTTATATACGTTCAGTCACAGTCATATATTATATATTTATAATTAACTTTATCTAATAACATCAATTAACTTTATCGTCTATCTTCAAATCGAAATATACTCCAGATAAATTTCTAAATATTTTTTAGTAAAAAAAAATTAATTAAATTTAACCCTATAACTGGAACTTTAACCATGATTCATTTTTAGTTATCTGATAGTTGATTCCGGCTAGTATTACTTTAATTTTGATTGGTGTGGTGTTAAACGTCATTTGGGGTACCTAACAATCCCAGTTTTCGTTGGAGGTTAAAAAAGCATATTTCCCTTCTAGGGTTAAAATCAAATTACCACTTTTATTGTCCTATTCGTGAAACAAAAAAAGATGCATGCAAAAACACATGTTTGATGTCTCGATTTCTCGGTGTTAAGGCTAGAAAAGAATTTCTAGAATTTAGAGAATTGCATTCAAGTTCTTAATAGTGAGGGAATTTTCTCTGAGAGTGATCATCGTACTGTGTAGTGTGCACTAGAGTGTGTGCACACGTACATACTTAAGCGCATACCTGTAACAAACCCAAGTACAGTTCCTACGGAAATCGGAATTTCAAGATCGTATCCGCTCATACGTTAACTATTTTATGATCCTCGAAATCATGAAATCTACATTTTGACAGACATATTCTCTATCTTGGCATATATTTTCTTTTTTTTATCTTCAATGGGGTCATTTAAAAAAAAACTCTTTAAAAAATATAAGAGAAAATGAATAGTTTGATAAATTTGAATAGGTACTTTCAGTTATTTAAAAAAAACACACATTTTTAAATTGAAAAATTCTTCCCTCAGAGTAATTTATTTAATGAAACACATTTTTTGCAAAATAGAATATGTAAAAAGTTTCAATACTATCCGGAACAGTGTTTAACTTTTAAATAACAAAATTTACAATTGCAGATGAATGTTTTTAAAATTAAAAAAAATTGTTATTTTTATATAAATTGGAAAATGTGAACAATAGGAAAACTATTTTTTGTTTCTACCTCAATAAAAAAGAAAAGTTTCATGTTCAATTATAGAGAATTTTTAAACTTGGAAGAATGGACTTTAAAAGAAAGTACGTTTTCAAATAAAAGGAGGAATCACATAAATTTAAAACTAGTGACTAATTGTAAAAGTTTTTGACTTTATGCGGAAGTAATTTTATCTCAGGACTTTAACACTCAACGTCTTTGCAGAAAGCCGACAAAAACTTTGCAATTGGTGTAAAATTTCATTTGACAAATTGGAAAAATATAATTTTAAAAATTTTTAAATTATATATGTATACAATTTTTAAATTGGAAAAATATATTTGAAATGTAGTTGAAATTGAGTAAATTATTGTGGGAAGGGGGAATTTTTTTTATTACCGCTGGAATTAATCGATTATTTTATCCGGTGATAAGATATTGAAATTTTAGGTGAACAAATTGGATATGAAAGGAGAATTTACGTAAAGGTAATGCGGCAGAGGAAATCGATAAGTTACACGTGATTGAAGATATTAGAGCATCACCACATCGGTAAATTTATTAACACCTCATCGTGCACTAGCTCTTTAATGCTACTGTAATATTATTATCGGGTTGGTCTTTATACTTGACGCCTAATATTTATATAATCTATATTTTTATTTTCATAATGATGAATATTCTCGCAATTAATAAAAAAAAAATGTTTTGGACTGGGTATGTATATTAAAATACAAAAATTGATATTTATTTTTTTATAATATGTTACAGATGGAGAAAAAAGGATCGTGCCTTGTACGAGAAAAGAGATTTTATATTTCCTCAAAGAGAACCACAATGTATGGTAATTAGTTTACTTGTTCTGAGGATTTTAAAACCCAAAACAAATAACAGGTTATGTAATCACAAACTGTCAATTAATGCTATAACCAATTATTAATGTTATAACAACTTTACTTGTCCTGTGGATTTTTAAACCCCAAACAAATAACAAGTTATGTAATCACAAACTGTCAATTAATGTTATAACCAATTATTAATGTTATAACAACTTTACTTGTCCTTTGAATTTTTAAACCCCAAACAAATAACAAGTTATGTAATCACAAACTGTCAATTAATGTTATAACCAATTATTAATTATCAATTAATGTTATAACCAGTTTACTTTTCCTGTGGATTTTCAAACCCAAGATAAATAACAAGTTATGTAATCACAAACTGTCAATTAATGTTATAACAACTTTACTTGTCCTGTGGGTTTTTTAAACCCCAAACAAATAACAAGTTATGTAATCACAAACTGTCAATTAATGTTATAACCAATTCGAATGAAATCAAATTCCTGAAATTAGTAAAATAACGCCCAACAAACCTTCGATACCAAGTTTCATAAAAATGCATCTATTTTCGAAAAATTTGTCCGCCATATTCGATCCGCCATTTTCAATTTTGAAAATTTGACTTCAGATTCGTCACCAGACGAATTAAATTTAATTTCTACAAAGCAGTGAACTAAATTTTAATAAAGAATTATGCTATTCAAATAGTAATTTTTTTTCTCATATGAAAAAACTTTATCCAATTTTTTCAAATAAACGTTTAATTCTTTTCGGGGGAAATTATATTTAAATGACTTTTAAAATAGAGAATATCATGAAAAACTTTCTCAGTTCAGTAGGAAATTTCCAATTTTGAAATATGTCTGGAGTAAAATTGAACGATTCGAAGTAGACATTCTGAATAATTTATCATTCATTACTTTGCGCATTAAGCTAATTGAAGTCTGATTTATCCATTCGGTCATAAATTTATATTTGAGCAGCGCCACTCTTTAAAATGATAAAATCAAAATTTTATCTAAATATAAACATTAGACAATTTTAATCGTATAATATTTCGACACTTATTGGACATAATTAAATGTTCAATACAAGTAAAAGAAAAAAGTTTAGAAAAAAATTTATTTAATTAAATATTTTATTTGAAAGTTAAATTTACTATTCGAATATAATAAAAACTATCTCTTTTTGTAATAATCCGCAAATTTTTGTAATAATAGAAAATTCGTTTTTTATTTCTAGTTTAAAAATGGAAAATGAGCGTGTGGTGGTCGTTTAAAAGTACTTTTAAGGATATGATTTAAAATTCTGAATGTGCTGCATTGGTTATTCTCCACAAACTAGACGATTTATGCCAACAACGCTTAAAACGAAAAAAATGGTTAACAAAAAATGGAGAAAAAGTTAAAGTGAAAAATGTTTGTAACTACAAAATTGTCTCTTTTGGTTTTACGTGAAGGTAATGTTGAGAATTTATATATGTGAGACGTAAAAGTATGTATATATATACAAATAATGTAAGTCACTAAAGAGAGTGCAACAAGTGTCGAAGAAGGAAAAACACATTCAGACCCTGTTCATTCTTTTTTAGAAAAAAAAATTTTGTTCCTTAACATTCGTGCAATCTAAAATAGATGTAGATTATTTAGGCATTTTTACATTTTGTTGAAAAATTACAATTCACACAATATACATTCTCATGAATGTTTTATTGAAAGATTCGAAAATTTAGATTCTGGCATTTTTTTGTTGTAATTGTATTTGATTGAGGTTAATAATTGTAATATTCAAGAAATATATTTCTAAATTTTTTATAAAAAAAATAGTATTTGAAAATAGGCCTTTACCATTAAATTATTATACAAATGTAAACGGCCCAATAAATAATTATTTAGATCTTTTCTTTCACACACTTTACGTTACGCTTTTGAAAACAGTTAAAATTGTTTCCATTATTTTATAGATGTAGAATTATAACATCTACTTTTTTATAATTCTAGTATTTATAATCTTTATCGTTTTATTTCTGTCTACAGTTATAAACTATATGGAGAGTAGACAAGAATTTACCTGCAAAATCTATTTTTGTTTGTATACAATTTAAGGATTATTTTGTTTGTTTTGTAGTAGAGAATTTGCACTGGAAAAATATTCGCGAACATAAAATTCTTTCTACCTTTTAGTTTTGTACATAAAGAAATGTTTGTTTTTCAAAACTGAATTAAACGATTTCGTCAAGTTTTCATCTTAGTTTAGGAAGATCTGTACAAAGGAATATATTTTTAGTTACTGACAATCGGAAGGAAATTCAAATTCTTTAAAATCTTTCTATAGCTTCTTAGACACGAATCTCAACTCTTTGGTTTATGTACTACACTGGAAAAAGTTTTAAACCCTCAAATTGTGGAAATTAAAAAACACCAGACCTCTCGTCGAAACGAGATAAATAACAAGTTATGTAATCACAAACTGTCAATTAACGTTAAACTCCTTCGAATGAAATTAAATTCTTTAAAATGGAAAATAACGCCCTAAAACTCCTAGACTTACCAAATTCGTGGATAAGCTAAGCCCATACGTCCGGCATACTTTTTTCGACGACTTCTTTAGTGTATTTGTGTTGCCAATAGAGTTGTAAGTTCGTGATGATAGAAATTGTAGAATTGATTAAAAAAATGATGAATTACATGCCATGACATTAGCCAAATTATCATAACATGTAATACCTCAGATGTTGAATTGAGATCCTAACCCTAACAGTCTACTCAACATTGTGTAACAATGACCCTTAAGATATTAAAAATTAGGCCATTAGAAACTAAAACCTAATTGTAGGTTTTTTCATTATGCATCTAAAATATTATATTCCATCTAATTTCACTTTCTCGAAATTGTACCCTTTTAGTGTCCGTTGCAAGATTAATTACTTGATATGATCACAAATAATCTCACAAATCATTTTAACATACAACTCTTATAATCTCTCTATCTTATTAATAAATTATCTATATAATAAAATGTTCATTCAACCACATTGATCTTGAAATCCTAAACTTTTCTTTGATGATTAATGACACAAGATACATCAGTGCTATTTTTAAGCACAAAAAATAGAACTTTAGACCTGCGTCAGCAAAGTGTGTTGTGCACCATTTTTCAGAAGATTCTTATCCACTATCTCCTGTTCATCCTGCTCTCGAGATCCACTATTAATTGTGATATTTGTCCTCGAAGTCATGGTAACATTTGTTGTTGATGTTTTACTAATTAACAAACCTCGTTCATCCTCTTTATCATCGATATCATCCTTTGATTGTGCAGATACAACCATACGATCAGCTTGTAGTCTTTCATTATTGCCTTTATTCTTCCTCGGGAAGACACTGTTTTCAAAATGTAAATTTGCATTCACCTCCTTACTGGCGGTGCAAGTGCAGGCCTTCGCGAAACTCTTTCGAAAATTATCACTAAGAAAGGCATAGAGAATTGGATTCATAGCACTGTTACAATAGGAGAATACTCCGGCCATGAGGAAAATTGTAATTGTCAATTCTGATTGACATTCGTTGGGTTCAGTGTAAATTAGTGACATTTGCGTTACCCAATATGGTGCCCAACAAAATATGTATGCTGCTATTACAGTTAGTACCATGATGGTGACTTTTCTATTCGAACGTCGTCTATCATTGGATCTATTTTGTGGTCCTACTGTTTGTAATTTCCTTAGGACGAGAATGTAAAAGACCAAGACTAAAGTCAATGGAATTGCATAGCCAAGAAGAAAAGTGTAAATGGTGAATGTTGTCTGACCGCCGTGTTCGTTAGGCCAGTAAATATTGCAGCTAAGTGAACCATTTTCACTAGGCAATGCATTTGCGTAAAGAAACACTGGTATCATGAATAGTGCACTCATTATCCAAGCACCAAGTGACACAATTCTTGAGATGAACGGAGTTCGAAATTGGGGCGATGATATTGGATGACATACGGCAATATATCTGTCAGCACTCATGATGAAAATAAAAATACTGCTGGTAAATTGATTGATACTAGTTGATGTCATGTAAATTTTACACATTACTGTTCCAAATGTCCAAGCACCCACTGACATTGTTGTTAATAGAAAGGGAATTCCAATTAGGAAACACTCATCCGCTACGGCTAAATTCAAAATATAAATGTTGGTGACGGTTTGCATTTTTGAAAAGCGAGCAACAACATAAATGACCATTGTGTTGCCCACAAGTCCAGCAATACAAACACCTGAATAGATGACTTGAGCTATTAGTGAAGTTAACGAAAAGTTCGTTTGGCAGTTGTTGATTGTGGAGTTTGTGGTATTGAAACCCTCGCTTAATGTCACGTTCATCATGATAATTGGATTATTCTTCGTATTGTTTTTTTTTCTTTTACTTCTAGGAATTCTCAATTCTTAAACCTTCGAGTTTTTAATGAGTTCATGTAATTATCAAGTGGCAATAATCGTTGCTGCGGTAATGATCGCGACGACGATGGCGCCATTTCATCGCTTCTCGATAAACAAACTTCTCTAGTTTCTACCGTTTAATACTCCAATCTGGAAAATAGAAAATTTATATTTACTTAAAAGGAAGAAAATAAAAGCAATTATTTTAATCTTATTCTTAAAGTTAATGCAGTACTTAAAAATGTTACTATAACCATTATCGCAGAAATAATACAGAAGCTTTTAAAACCAATGATATAATTTCTGATGAGGAAAATTAATAAGAAATTTTGACCCAAGAGCTGGAATAATAATGTTATTATTTTTTATTTGTATTCCACCTATCGAATTCATTATCATTTTATATGATAGCAATTCAGGTGGAAATATTAAAACGTACGTTATTAAATTACACTTGAAAAAAATTTCCTACGATATTACTTTTAATTAGACGTAATCCATATTTGAGTGTAGGTGTTATTTTTTTCTTTTATCAGAACCTTTTTTCCTCAACATTTACCTTATTAGATTCCCAACTCACGAGGGTCCGACTGGGCGTTATGAAAAGTTGGAAACATTGCTTTATCGATCTGAAGGAAAATTGAGAAGGGTGTTGAATATAAACCAAAGGATCTGTGAAACAAGTAGTTTCCAACTGAAATTGAGACGAAATCGTAAATGAATATATTGTATTCTCGACGTACAGTCTGCTATGTGAAATTCATTATTCCATATTATCACTGTATCGAGTTGGAGGATTTTTTCATAAGCAATTTTTATTTCATTCCAGGAATTATTATGGGATTGTGAAATTATTATTAATTGTAAAGGAAGCAATAAAATGAATTTTAAATTCCATCGGTCCCGCTCAAGTCATGTTTTTCAGCAAATTCATAGGATGTGTCTTCACGCATTGTCGCGGTGTATACTGATGCCAAAAGAAGAACAAGTCAGTATTTATATCGAAAGCACGGACGTTGTAGAAAGACCGGGCTTCCCCCACCAAGATTCATGGTACCCGCTCCGTACGGGTTACAAATTACAATATGTCAAAAAATAATTACCACTAAAAGGACAAGTTATTTTAAAAACTAAATAAATAATTACAAAGCGGTATGGAAATTTTCATCCAGTTCCGGAAGGCTTATGGCATTTCGCCCAAGGGACTGTCCCCATTTGAAAGTACATACATCCACATGCCAGAATGAAGAGTCAGGAGAAAATTTAAAAATCGTGTTACTACATGGGAAACGGGCTTATGAAATGACGCGTGTGGCCTCAGGAAAAGATACGATGCTGTAATATTTTCAAGGGAATTGAGAAATATTCGTATTTGAATAAAAAGGGTCCTCTTCCAAATCAAGAATTTTTGAAATGAAATATTTCAATATAAACCCGCTGAACCATAATCGAAATATAAGCCGTGTGGGTGTTGACGTCTTAAACAAATTACAGTAGACCTTTCTTGAGGATTATTATAAGTTTTGATATAGTTAATTAAAAAGTAAGATAAAAATATTCAACTTTATTATTATCTAGTCAAAAAACTTTCTTTAGAATATAAATTCTATTTTGCAAAAAAAAGTTAATGAAGTTCAATAAAATTTACTAATTATTTCGTACATACTTTATTGATTTCATTACTTTGAAAAGTTAAGGTGCATCTCTGCTTTCAGAAGATTTAGCGATGAAAGGTAATTTGTTAACAAATTCACTAAGAAAAATAGACCCTTTGTACTTAAATTTGTATTTACTTTCAAAGAAATTTTCAAATACTTACACCTTCTTAAAGCTTCAAAAGCATTAAAGTATCATGTATTCATAACTGTTCGTAGTTTATTAAGTTCATCATTTTTCATCATATTTTTAATTACTACTGAGAAAATAAAGTTAAATTATTTTAGTAAGTAGATCACCCAAATAGGATATACAATATTTTCTCGAATATTTCAAAAATATAGATGGCAACCGTGATTCTTGAAAGATTTTTTGTAGGCAACCTTATATCATAAAATTGTACTTTTAATTAACTATATTCTTGAACATATTATTTTAGGCAACCTATTCGAATGTTGGCGTTTATGAACAGTGCAGCAAACAAATGAAGAGAGTTAGTTGCAATGCTAATAGTGAGTAGTCGATTGGCGACATGGTATAACTGTGTAAAATGGTTTCATTATTATTGTTAAAAGAAAGCTCTCAAATGGATGCTTTGCAAGAATTTTGGAATTGCGAATATGGATGACAGCAAGGTAAGCGCTATTTTGCGACAAACATAATATTTAATTTTCATTTAGTTTAGATGTATATCTATTTAAAAAACCAAAAGTAAATTTGAAATTTTTCGCTCATAAAATATGAATAGCTCTATAAAAATATTCTGAAGGTATGACAGAGTTTTTTTTATGTAACGTTCATTTTTTTAAGGCTTCGCGAGTTAAATTTTCTAAGAACCCTCACGTAGTGCAGAGGATTTTTGTAATTCATGAAAATTATTAATTTAAATGCGAATACACGGATCGAGTCCGTTAAGTGGAAGTGAGCGTCCTTCAACTGCAAAGTGAGCTTCACTGCGAAGTGGCGGAAAATGGACCCTAAGGGATGAGTTTAAAATGTTTATAAGATACCACTTTACATCTCGAGCAACGAGTTAATGGCTTCTGTAGCATAATGTTTATAAAATTTGTTAAGCATAATAACAATAATAACAATAAATTATTAGCACCCTAAACTTTAGTTAAAAAATTATATAGTGGTGGTAGTCACAATTTTATTCAGTATTTAAAATTTTTTATTTTTACACACTTTATTTTACAATGGACATGAACAAAAAGCATACATTTAATGTATAATTATTTAAAAATTTAGAATTTTAATCAAAAGAACAACATTTTATTAATTTCCTATTAAAACATTAATAGTTTACAATTGAAATACAATTTCAAGATAATATAAAAAACTAACCGCAATTTATTTATTTTCAATTTTTTCGCTTTACAATAAATTCAAACTCCTTTTATAAAGTACTATACTTTCTTGTACGTTATAAACAGTTCCCTTGAATTCAACAGTAGCTTTGAGCAACAAGAAAAGTTTCAAGATAAGTTTACTTTGATTTATGAAATATAAATTTTAACTTTTGTAATTGCTTTCAAAGAAAAAGTGTCCAATTTTTTTGTGTGTTGTATTTCAGTAAAATTGTATTATTCGATTAACCAACTCAAGAAGTTTTATAAAGGTAAAAATAAAGGAAATTTTTTCCTTTAAACTCAAATAAAAGGACGTCTAGAGACATTTAGAAAGGGAGGTTTCGGTAGATATACTTTAAGACAAGGAAGATTACAGTGTGCGAAAGCTTAGTATAGGATTAGTCAATTTGAAACGGAACGTGACATGGATTCCAAGACATTCCTCTCAGTGTAAAAGTTAATTTCTCTCTCTCCTTGCCACTCGGTTTACAAGTGGAAAATACAAACAAAATCCTTTAAAAAAATAAATAATTCTAACACAGTATTTTTGAAAGATAAAAAAATTCTTTTTTAAATTTTCAATTCTATATGTTAATAATAACGAGTCCACTAATTTAAACAATCAATTACGATACATAGTTTGGGGGCAAACAGAATTTGACAAAAAATCGATTTTATTACATTTTCCTAAAGATGTAAGTCTCGAAAATTTACCCTGAAAACCTCAAGTATATCCAATAAATAATTTTCTACGTCCTACTGCAATTACAGTATTATTTGTGACATTCAAATATTGCAAAACATTTATTATATATTCCCGATACAGCTGATTCAGCGTAAGGAATTAAATAATCATTTCCACACGCAAATCAACTGTGAAACTTTAAACGCGTAATTTTTCAATTTTTCAAAGAATGAAAAAAATGAAAAGAAGTAGCAAAAGTATTTGAAATAATGTTTTCCTTTTTTTTCTTTCTATATCATGAGAGTAATAAATTGAATCAGATTCCGGTTGACAGAAAATCGAACATAAGTAACGAGGGGTTCGACAATTTCAATAAAATAGCATTTTAAACAGGAAATCCAGATAAACTCTCGATTCCATCGTACAGCGTCGATAAAGAATTACGAGCGAATAACTTTTAATGACCTTCCTAGAGAGAAGACGTCTTTCAATTGACGAGGAAACTGGGCATATTCCAGATTGTCATCGAATGAGAAAAGACAATGCCCAGGTGAAAATGGATTATATATTTTATGCTTTTTCAATATCATATAACAATCATTTTTTTATTGAATTTTTACTTTCAATATACTAAATTGAAAATTAAATATAATTTATCTTTCTATAATGTATCTTTTGTTCTTAACTCGACGTTCACAGAAATAATAAATTTGCTAAATTTTACACAATACTGTTACGTTCGTAACTTCTCATTAATATACCTAATTTAACACACACCGAGAGACCTACTAAATAGCCTAGTCCCGGAGTGGCTTTCAAAATACACGGCGATTTAAGAACCAGAAACAAAATTATTACTAACGTGAACCGTAAACTCTAAATGTTTATAATCTTTTATTTCTTGCTGTTCAAATTTTCTTTAGTAAAAAGCCCCACCACCACAATATACATTCCTATGAAATTTCATTAGAACAAAAAATATTACTGAACTGAACTGTAAATGTTTATAATCTTTTGTTTCTTGCTGTTCAAATTTTATTTAGTGAAAAGCCATACCACCACAATATACATTTCAATGAAATTCCACCACAACAAAAATTATTACTAAACTGAAATGTAAACTCTAAATGTTTATAATCTTTTATTTCTTGCTGTTCAAATTTTCCTTGGCGAAAAACTCCACTACCACGATAAACATTCCTTAAAATTTCATCAGAACCACAATTATTGCTAAACAGAACTGTAAACCCTAAATGTTTATAATCTTTTATTTCTTGCTGTTCAAATTTTCCTTGGCGAAAAACTCCACTACCACGATAAACATTCCTTAAAATTTCATCAGAACCACAATTATTGCTAAACAGAACTGTAAACCCTAAATGTTTATAATCTTTTATTTCTTGCTGTTCAAATTTTCCTTGGCGAAAAACTCCACTACCTTCTCTAAATGTTTATAATCTTTTATTTCTTGCTGTTCAAATTTTCTTTAGTGAAAAGCTCCACCACCACGATATACATTACCAGGAAATTTCATCAGTACCAAAATTATTACTAAACTGAACTGTAAACTCTAAATGTTTATAATCTTTTATTTCTTGCTGTTCAAATTCTCTAAAGTGATGATATGTTTGTCAAATTCTGTATTTAAGGGTTTTCGTGGCGGCTGATTAGAAATATAATGTCGACAGCAGAGTTTTAATGGTGCGTATTGGTTTTTAGCTTTAAGAATAAGTGTAAAATAGTTTACCTTCATCACGGTCATAAAAAATCTTCATTAAGTTGCTTATGTCCTGAAGAATAAGTTCGCCATTGTTGAATAGTTCAATTTTCAGAATGGAACATCTGCTGCTTGGTAGCTTTTGAAAAATATCTTTTTTCACTGATTTCTCAGAATATGTGTATTCTGTAACAGAAAAAAAGTTTGGTTGATAATTTTAATTTCAATTGTTTTTGTAATTTTTACTTAAAATTTAATATTTAATTGACATCACTCGTCATGATGGAGTCTGCGCGAGTATCGAGGCTAATTATTTTTTTTGCTATCGACCGTGGAAATTTTTTAAATCGCATGACAACCAGGGACATATTTACGGTTTTAATGCGACATCTGTTTGCTTCTGTAATCCTTTTGCATTCTCAATCCGGCGTTTCGTAAAAGTATACATTTTTCCAATATTATAAAAATACAGAACAATTTTTCTTTTAAGTATAAAAGTAATTTCATTAATATTTGTTAAATGTTAAGGCAGCTAGTGATCCTTCGAGTAACTGTTCGATATAACCAAAAATTATGGTAACTTTCTAAACATGTGTTAACATGTGTTAATCTGCGCAGAACAAAGTCTTCTAAGCTCTAATCAGTTAAGAAGACCTTCCTACCTTTACCGCAAGCATCAATTCCTTCCACACCTCTGTACATAGCTCTCTTGGTTCTAGACTTCACGCCCGAACACAAGGCACATAAGGTTCGTAGGAGTCTAGCCTATCTCAAGAAGTGACCACTTGATTCAAATGAGATGCGAGTCTATAAAGTAATTTCCATCCAAGAGGTCATTAAACTTTCCACATTGGAAGCATGTGGAAGGTGCAGTCGATAGATCGAAGAGTTACTTTCGAGATTCGCAACTTGGATTGCCTTACCCAAGAAGCAGAAAAAAGATTTTAATTTTCAGTTAGATTTCTAATTTATTAACAGACTTAAAAAGCTAAATTTAATATTCAATTTAAGTTAGAGGTAAACGTACATATGTCACAAGTTTTTAATTTTTGTTTTCAAATTCCGAGATAATATTTGTTCAGTGCCGCAACAAATATTAAGAAGTTTTTTTTTAACTCTATATATGTGTGTTGACCTATTTATTCAAAAAGCTTCTATATGAGCACAAATTATACGATACGTGGACTGCAATGGACGCTCGATACCCCTTTATGCAACAGTTTTTACTAATCATATTATAAAAATAATAGGTGTTATTGAATGTACGATAATTAAATGAACAACAACTAAATTTCTCATTATGTAATTTTGAATACTAAATTACTGACCAATAATCTTACGTGTTTACATTAACAACATTTGTATTTTATTATTATTAATTTTTTCCGATATTGGCACTTTTTTAATAAAAACTGAAAGTTAAATTTAAACTTCAAAATTAAATATAAACTTTTTTTTGTAATGAAAAGGGTAAAGAGAATATAGGGTAGAAGCGGGTCGTAAAAATAAAATTAAAAATAAACACTTGAATCTTAGGCTGAAGGTACCGAAAGATGTGCGTTGATATACATAAAAAGAAATGTATTTTTATCCAAAATGTAAGTCGGCGTGAAATGCCTCTGACAAATATGATTTTCAACGATCTCAAACGATGCCGAACCCATAAAAATGTTTACTACTTAAAATTAATTTTCCTAAGAGCGTAACATTTTAACAGTACTTCAAATAAACGAAATGTCTCACAGCTGAAAATGAGTTTCTCGATTTTTTGACAAATCACTGTTGTATTTTATTATTCATCCCCCGTTTTCATAATTTATTGAATTCGTCTCGGATCTCAAAGATGACCCTGAGTTATTATAAATACATTTGAAATTTAATTATTTTTTTAATTTTTTAGTTTAAATTCAATTTAAAATTGATTGAAATTTAATTTAAAAATTGTTTCCTTAAATCTGGAAATATCATCTTTAAGTAAATACCTTAGAGATGAGAATATAAAAAATCGCGCTTCATGAACATTGTCAATCTCAGAATATAGGTATACTATAGATTTTTATACAGTAAAGCAAGTTGTGGGGTGAAGACTTATGTAAGCAAGTGAAATTAATTACTCCCCTGCTTCGGAAAGGCCGACAATAAAAGTAGAAAACTTGATTGAGTGGATATGTATACACTTCAACAGCTACAGTATGTCTTGGATAACTTGACGCTTTTCTCTCAAGTAGGTCTTAAAATCGATAGTCTCGAGATATATCAAGCAGGTCGAGTTCAATTAATATATACTTACAAAAAGCCATTTAATCTTCATCTTACATATATTTTTTATCCAAAGGTGTATCTCAATACACGACTATTCCAGGAAAGTGTATTTGCTAATTTTACACAATACTGTTACGCCCGTAAATTCTTAATAATATAGTTAATTTAACAAACAGCGAGAGACCAACCAAATATCCTAGTCACGGAGTGGCTATTAAAATACAAGACGATTTAAGAACCAGAACCAAAATAATTACTAACCTAAACCGTAAACTCTAAATGTTTATAATCTTTTATTTCTTGCTGTTCAAATTTTCTTTAGACAAAAGTCTTTCACCGTGATAAACATTCCTATGAAATTTCATCACAACAAAAATTATTACTGAACTGAACTCTAAATGTTTATAATTTTTTATTTCTTGCTGTTCAAATTTTCTTAAGTGAAAAGCCCCACCACCACGATATTAGATTCCCACTAAATTTTACCATAACTAAAATTATTACTAAACTGAACTGTAAACTCTAAATGTTTATAATCTTTTATTTCTTGCTGTTCAAATTTTCCTTAGTGAAAAGCCCCACCACTACAATATACATTCCTTAACATTTCATCAGAACCACAATTATTGCTAAACGGAACTGTAAACTCCAAATGTTTATAATCTTTTATTTCTTGCTGTTCAAATTCTATTTAGTGAAAAGCCCCACCACCACGTTATACATTCCTTAGAAACTTTGTTAGAACCAAAATTATTACCAAAATGAACTGTAAACTCTAAATGCTTATAATCTTTTATTTCTTGCTGTTCAAATTCTCTTTAGTGAAAAGCCCCACCACCACAATATACATTCCTTAGAAATTTCATTATAACCAAAATTATGAAATTATAATTACTAAATTCTTGTTTTGATTTTTAGGCCAAAGAATCCAAATTTTTCATTAAAAAATTTTAAAGACAATTTTTAAGTTTGTCAACATATTTATTATTAATAAAATTGTCTCTACGTTTCGATGATGGCCACCATCTTTTTCATATAATTACTCAAGCTGTTATTGCTTTTAAAAGAGATGTTCATACACTGAGAGAAGAATACTCATAGTATAATTGTCAAGTCTTTCTTTTTTATTTGGTTTTAAAATAATATTCTCTTACAACATTCAGTATGGGTTCATTAACTTATCCTCATCTCAAATTAGGTTTAATTCTGAAACTAATTTAAAAAGGAGGAACATAGGTTTCTTTTAAAAGTTTTCAGTTTCTAACGTAACAATAGAATAGGTTATCCTAATTGATATCAAAATAACGAGTTTTTTTCTGTATGAATACATTTTTCCATTGAATTTAAATAATGGAAGTTGCGCCTGTAATAAATATTGTTGAGAAAACGCGGATCGTTTGGCACGGCAAATGCACGTTGTGTGTAGTATAACACGCATATTCAAAGTAAGCCAAGCAAGATATGCCGAGCTGCAATCTCAACATATATGTACGTGAACTGCATTTTATATTGGGCATCCAAACAGTCGAAATGATAAAATTTTTGAAATATACATTTTCCTTCATAAATGACCTAAACATTATTTATTGTCTAGTAGCGAAAAAAATGCAACATTAAAAAATACCGGTGATAATTTTTAATTACTATTATCTTGTATTTAATGTGGGAATAAGAATTTATTTTTTATGTGTGTAATTTATTTTTTTTTGTGAACTTATTTTAGCTAGAGTTGGTACACCGAGATTCTGTGCTGATAACTACTCTTTTTCTGCTTGGCCCACTAAAAGTGATCGACTTTACCGCACTTAAAGCACGCAGACGATCTAACCACCGCTTACGATCAATTTCTACTTATCGGACGTGATTTTCTTCTATGCTGGCCTGTTGCCTTTATTTTATGGCGTTTTTTATAGTCTTGATTTATATTTCTAATGTTTTTGGGTATTAAAATTAATCCTGGAATAGGGGATAGTTCTTCTTTAGCAGAATAAAAAAGGGAAGAATTCGAATTTTTTTGTATCCCTAGCTATAAGTTTGAATTTAGTGGATCCCACCGCTGTCACCATCTGTCTATTTAACGTCTCTGTTCAATGCAGGTAGTGTTTCGTATCAATACTATAAATTCAAATTGTTCGGTCTGTGTCCAAATTTGCTCGAAAGGTCACTTTGGTATAATGATAAATTTTTTTTTTGCACAGGGACTTTTGGGAAATCTGCTTAAAGATACCTTGGATTTCAAACTCCAAATTTATGTGGGGTTGGTATAAAGAAAACTAAATAAATAACAGAATAAAACGTAACTAATATGATCTACTGACAGTATTGATCCACGAAAATCCGTAACCTATTTGCTGCTGTCCTTCTTAATTAGTTTTAGTCCTTGCAAGTGTCTTCTTTGCTTCCTTAAGGATCGTTCGAAAGGCTCCGCAGTCTTCAGTACAATCTGCGATCTTATGATCGGCTTCACCACACTTATAGCACCCAGTCAATTAGTCCATCATCTTACAAAGTCAAAATTATTACTAAACTGAACTGTAAACTCTAAATGTTTATAATCTTTTATTTCTTGCTGTTCAAATATTCCTTAGTGAAAAGCCCCACCACTACGATATACATTACCAGGAAATTTCATTAAAATTAAAATAATTACTAAACTGAAATGTAAACTTTAAATGTTTATAATCTTTTATTTCTTGCTGTTCAAATCTTCTTTAATGAAAAGCCCAACCACTACGATATACATTACCATGAAATTTCATGAAAATTAAAATAATAACTAAACTGAAATGCAAACTCTAAATGTTTATAATCTTTTATTTCTTGCTGTTCAAATTTTATTTAGTGAAAAGCCCTCTCTCCCTTATAAATATATATACAAAGAAGAAAAATCTACGCCAGCTGTATAGTTAAAAATTCCATGAAAA